TTGAGATGCATTGCACGGCCCATCCGCCCTCGCGGGCATTCTCAGACGACGTCTGAGTATCACAACTGTCTGAGTATTGAGACACACAACAGCAGTTTGAGTCTCGCCTTCGCACGGATCAGGTCAGCGAACGTCTCGTCGAAGCTTCCAAGGAAGGTGTACTGGAGTCGGACACTGTACCGTGCGTCGTTGGTTGAAGTTGATGGCTACCACTAGCACTTGCTTGGCGATTCCATCGTTGCACCAGACCGCCCGAACGGCAGCCTAACACAGTTGAAAGCAATGCGCTGTACGTGATTTCATCGTGCGAAGCTACAGGGACTGTCAAATCACGGCCGACCCTACTGGGAAAAGGTGTGGACTGACACCTCAAGAAACGAGACGACCTGATTACACCTTGCCGTGCGGCTACGAGCCACCGACTAACCGTGCGTCCAGGAATGTATGTTTAAACGTTTGGTTTGTATTACTGGAGCTGGAATCCACTCCATTGTGTATCACCAAGGATCGAATGAACTAAGAAACAAATACCCAACCAGGCTCGCAGTGTAGCTCTGCTGGACCCAAGAGCAAGTCAACACCTGTAGTATACCGCATGCCGTTGATCGGTTGCTAGATAGGACTAAGGACGATACGTAGCAAGGTACCTGTAGAAGGGGGCCGTGTCTCCCTCCAATGCCCGTTGCAACATGATTCCCAAAACTTCTGAGTTCGCGATGCCTCCCGTCGTCGTAGGTGTCGCTGTCGTCGTGCTGGCACTGACATCACTGACTAGAACTCGAGAGCGCCATATTTGCTTCGGCAACTGGTCTAGAATTGATGGCAAACGAGCTGTGGTAGCGGCATCACGCTCTTCATGCTACAAGGTGCCATGTAGATCCAAACCCACATTGGTGCCACGCCCATTTTCACAGTGAGCGGGCATGGGCGGGGCCATGGAGCACTTGGTGAATGATTTTAGATCAATATTCTCTGTTCCACTAACGTTAATTTAAAAGGGCCGCCTGGATGGCTACGCAATCACAGCCTGTTCATCAGTGCACAACCTTAGTGGGTAAGCTCATTCTGATATGATGTCCAGCACGCTGACCATGATATCTCTAGTCGTTCACTAACGTACGTACTCGCGCAAGGGGTCCATCGGTTGCTGCCACTCTCTTTTCCACTCGCTCTCCTCTCTGCTCTCTCGCCACATCAACGCTCAAGACACGCAACAACATCGTATCTAGCCCATTCGCCTTGCGCCAAAGCTCATATTTATCCGGATCCGGATATGACGGACACAGGGCGCGTCGACGTCACGGCCAACTTCAACACGCGTGGCAAGACCCTGTATAAATGCATATGCGGCTCCACCTCTGACATCGAATACGTCGCCGACTGCCATGTTGCCACCGCGCTGCCTCCTCGCGCCCGAGCTCCTCGAGGCGATCGCCGTCTTCCTCGCGTCGCCGCTCGAGCTCTTTGCGCTGCTCGAGGCGCTGCCGCTTGACGCACTCTCGTCGCCGCTCGCCAGCCTCCGCGCGCTCCACGAGGCCACGGCCTCGCACATCTTTACGTACGCCAAGTTCGACGAAGTGTACTTCAATGGCATCTCGCTCTGGCCGGCGCTCGCGCTGCCCCGTGCGATTGAAGATCCGAGCATCCTTCGCCACATTGAAGAGGCGCTCGAGCTCTTTCCCATCTTGAGCCACGAGTCGCTGGCCTTTCCGCTGCCATTTGCCCTCGGCCATCGCACCAAGCTGCATGTGCCCAACGTGTACTTCCCCGCGGTCCTCGACAAGGCGCTGGCGCACCACCGCGACGACATTGGATCGATCGGGCTCTTTCTTACCGATCGACGATCGCGCAGCGCGCACGCCGACGGCGGCCTCGTCCAGCGCTTGGCGTCGTTGCAGGACCTGCCGTCGCTGCGTGACCTCGCCGTGCACATCCAGTGGCATGCAGCGACCATGACCGACGAGCTCGAAGCCGTACTGGTTGCGCTCATGACGGCGCCCGTCACGTCGCTCACCCTCGATGTTGCGCTTGACGACGCGACGTGGCCGCCGGCGCTCCTCACGGCGTTCACAACATGGCTTGAGACGCATGCGCTCTTGAGCAGCGTCACGCTTACGCAGCTCACGCTGCCAACAGCCGGCATCGAGGCCGTGTGCGACGCCCTCTGGGCCTCGCGCTCGCTGCGCGCCATCGGCCTCCACGACCCGCGAATCGTTGCCACGGTCTCGTTCCTGCGCCGCCCGCTGCCATCGACATGGACGCGACTGGATGCATCATTGTGCGAGTTCGCCGATGGGAGTGCGCTGATGGCGTTGCTCGCGAACACCAGCCTCGCGCACCTCGCGCTCTCGTTCGCGGACGCCCGGTATGCGATCGATGTGTGCCGCGAACTCGTGCTCGAGACACTGCCGACACTCGAGCGTCTTCGGCACTTGAAGCTCACGTCGGTGCCGCTCTTACCGGACGTGTCGACGGCGCTCGCCGCGATCTTGCCGCGTCTCCGAGGGCTTTGCCTCGAGCAAAACATGCTTGAAAACGCCGGCGCGATTGCGCTGGCGGCGCAGCTCCCGCGCTGCAAGCGGCTCCAGTCGCTCACGCTGCGGCACCAAAACATCGCGACCAACGGCTGCGTCGCGCTGGCCGACGGCACGGCGCGCTGCCCCGCAATCGAGCGCGTCGATTTGGCCGAAAACCACGTCGGACTGGCCGGTGCCGTCGCGTGGAGCCAACTCCTTCCGCGGTTGACGCTGTTGGACCTCTCGAGCTGCAGTGTGCCGCGCAAAGGCGCCGACGCGTTTGCGCGCGTGTTGCGACGCACAACGTACGTGACCAAACTCGTGCTCGACAGCAACCCAATCCAGCGGCGCGGCATCCAAGCGATCGTGGCGGCGGTGGCGTCGACGCCGACACGCAAGGCTGTCGTGCGACTCGGTGACATTGTCGACTTTCACGACGAAGCGCTGTGCGTGGCGCCGGTCGCCGGCACGCCGCACGAAACATGGCTCGAGTTTTATTAGACCAGAAGTTCTTTTTATCATTCTTCGTCTTGCTCTATACCAATGGGTGGTCCATATATGCATACGAGTGTGCGTGTCGTCTGGTTGTCACAGCAATGCATACGGACAACAAGCGAGGTGCAAAGGTGTCTTGGCAACCTCGACCGTGACGCGCAAGTGTCATACCTTCTCGGCTGAGGTAGCTCTAGTCTCTAGGGCTGGGGCATGGGACGCATTAGAGAGCTGCCGTTGGTTGCACACTTGTATCCACATAGGTTTACCTACTACTCTTCACGAAGCGTCGAGGTACCATCAATGTGCACCTTAGCGTCTATCTAGGCCGTCGTCGATGGCATCTCGAGGCGGACGTACGCACGCTTGCGCTTGTTGGTGCGGACGCGGCGGTGCACGAGCAGCAGCAGCAGCGCGAGCAAAGCGAGTCCCGCCGTGAGCACAAGTCCGATCGTGTAGTAATTGGTGTGCTCGCTTGTTGTGAGATGGGGGCGATGCGTCGTCGCCACCATGAGCGTCGAGAGGACGTCAAAGCGCGGCGTGCCCCAGCCGCTCACCGCGTCCCAACCCGGTCCAGCTCCAAACGAGGTAGGGCAGCTGTAGCTGCCATTCCGAGCCGCGCCGTTGTTGCCGCTGACAACGTCGTGGAATGCTCTTTTGTGGTGGCGGCCGATCTCGTACAAGAGCGGGTTGAGAAACCCGAGGGGAGGGAGACCGGCGTCGAGTCGCTGGTCGTTCCAGAGCGTGACGAGGCCTGCCAACGCCGGTGTTGACGCCGACGTGCCGCTGATACCCTTGACTTTGCCGTTGACAATCACGCTGTAATGGGCGCCGATAAGGGCAATGTCGGGGTACGCTCGACCTTGAGGGTTGAAGAAGCCGGGCTTGGTCGGACACGCGGGCGACGCAAGGTACGCGGCCACGGCTTGCTTTTGGTAGGCGGGCGCTGCGTAGACGTTGGAGAAGCCGCCGCCCGATGTGATGCCGCCGTGGAGCGCACCGGAACAAACCACCTCGACACTGTTTGCATCGAGCTGCGTAGCGCCCACCGAGGTCACGTACGGGCTGGACGACGGCCACTGGGGCCCCGAAGTGGCGCAGCCTGCGTCGATACTCATCTTCTTGGCATGAATGTGTTGCCCTACGCGGCTTCTGAATACTACTTTGGGATGCAAGACTCGTCGTACCTGCGACGCCGTCGTCGCCGCTGGCCACGAGCACCGTGAGGCCGCGCACTGCCATCTTTTGCAGCAGCGTGTCGAGGTGCAGCGCATACTCTTTGGCGACCTCCATGATGTGGTCTTCGTCGTCGGCGTACGAGAGCGAGTGTACGAGCGGCGGACTCGGGTCCCGCAAGACGTCGGCGGCCCAGTCCACGAACGGCTCGTCGTTTGTTGAGAACGGGTTGGTGCTGTTCATCGTCCACACGGTCGTCGTCGCGTCGGGTGCCATCGCTGTTATGTACTGCAGATCGAGCGAGACTTCGCCCGTCGCGTCTTCAGGATGCGGGTTGTTGCGTCGACTGCCGCGCTCCCGTACCGGCGCAGGCACCAGTTTATGCAGCTTCTCAAAGGCGGCGAGGTCCGACGGCGCCCAGTTTTGCGAGTAAAATGCTGGAATGGCCTGCGTCGCCTGCGTCACAGAAGCGCTTGACGGGACGTTGTAGAGCTTGCGGAGCTTGGTGGGCGTCATGTAGCTGCTAGCTTGCTTCGAGATCGTTGCGGTCAACGGCGATAACGACAGCGGCGCCGAGTTGAGACTCACAAACGAGACGTGCCTGTGGATGTGCTCGGGCAGACGCATCACTCTCGATGCCCGAAGGATGCGATGTCCGTGCTGCACGCTCTGGAAGGCTGCAATCTCGGTACGAAAGAGCTGGCGCGTCTCGCCGACGGAGCTAAACACAGTGAGGATGTTGGTCGCTGCGCAATAAGACGTGCGTCGGTGGCCGAGCCAGGCGTGGATGGCCTCGAGCGTCTCGGGCGCCGGTGCAGCGAGTGCATCCACTGCTGCCGCGTCCAAGTACCGACCGTACGTCGACCGCCTATTCGAAACACTCAGTGCACGTAGACGCACAGTCGACATACGTTGGATCGGAGACGGCGGCCACGGCGTCGTCGAGGCGGCGCGGGTCGGCGGCCTGGAGGCCCACGGACCACGTGAGCGCTGTGGCGTCATCCGCGTCGGCGGCGAGCGTCCAGCGGTGGGAGGCAAAGGCGCGGTGCGTTGCCGTTCGCATTGCAAGTCAGTTGACAACTGAGCCGAAGGTGGCCGGTGGACGATCGCGCATACAAACATCAAGTACAGGACAGGCGGGCACGAGATTCATAAGTTGGCTACTCGTTTGATAGCGTGCAGGGGACTGTGCAGGGGTGATAGCCAACTGCACAGTCGTTCTTGGATCGTTCGTAAACACAAATATGCTACCATTAGCAGCCCTCGACTATGGAAGCACTTGGACCCTCTACTCCTTGTAGCCAGCGAGGACGCCGTGGGGCCGAAGCGAGCACGTGTGCGGCTCGTACGCTTGGACGTGCGCGGCAAGCTGCGCGACAGTGCAGCAGCCGCACCACAAGACAGCGCAGACGTCGCCCAAGCACGAGCCGGGGATGAAGAAGAGATGGCGCACCGTGGTCCGAAGCGACGTCACGAGAACCACGAGCAGCAGCGAGGCCACGGCACCGGCGCTGTGTGCGTAGAGGTCGTTAATGCCGCTGCAAGCGATGGCCGTCACGTACAAGACGCCGGTGAGCGCAGCCATAGTGCTAAACGGGCGCAGGCCCAGGCGGTGCGAGACTTGGCCGAGCGGTACGCACGGAAGCAGAATCGACACGATGCCGTTGGGCACGACGTCGACGCAGAGCGCACCGAGGAGCGACGACCGCCACTGCCGACACAAGATGCCGTTGCGATCCCACTCGCCAAACTCCTTGAGGCCGTGGTCGCGCTGGAGCGTCCCCACTTCGGTGGGCCGGCCACCGTCATCGCCGGTTGTATGCAGCAAGACGGGTTCTTGGTTAGGCGGGAGGCTCGGGACGTCGTCGTCGTCATGGACGAAGACGTCGGAGGTATGACGGGCCATGACGCTGGAGAGACGGTGTTGAGCCCAGACCCGCTGGCCGACAGGCCGCCAATCGGACCGCGACTTTGCATTACTGTGCCACTTGACATGGGTGATTCCTTCATTGCAAGGTTGGAACCCTTATGACGCTCCGCCTTCGGGATTGGCTCAAGAGCCTATATAGATACACTGGATTTGATTATGTCGTTGGATTGTAGCCGTCTGGATTGGTTAAATATCAAAGAGGTATTCCCTCATTCCAAGCTTGTGCAGGAACGAAAGTCGCGATGCATCTCTACTTGCTGATTGGCTAAAAAGCGATGGGACTTGGCCTCGCGTTGCACCAATGGCATTGCATCTTCGTTTGTGCCACAGACAGACCAGCAGCAAGCATGGTCGACGCCACGACGCCCCTCTACGTCTTCTACGGGTCGCAGACCGGCTGCGCCGAGTCCATCGCCGAGGTAGATACCTATCGCCACAGCTCTCTTGATGCTGATACTCGCCACATAGCGCCTGCAAAGCGACGCGATCGAGCGCAACGTGCCCTGCCACGAGGTTCGCCCCCTCGATGCCTTTGAAAAGGTGCGCCAAGTCCTCCTAGCCGTGACCTCTCGTAAGAGCATGCGTTGTAGTCGGGCGTGCTGCAGGACGCGGCGGCGACGGTCGTTATCGTATGCTCCACGACGGGCAACGGCGACCCGCCTGGCAATGCGGAGAAGTTCTGGCGCTACATCAAGAAGCGTGCGCACCCAGCCACGCTCCTCTCAACCATTACCTTTACCGTGCTTGGTCTCGGCGACACCAACTACGACAAGTTCTGGTACAGACACATCCTCCTCCTCATCACATTCGAACACCGCTCTAGTCACATGGGCAAGAGCATCTTCCGCCGCATGAAGGATCTTGGCGCCGTCAGCTTTTACGACCTCGGTACCTCGCTGACCGTAGTTGTACCTTCGGTCACGTTGCGTTGTCTGTAGGCTGTGCGGACGAGGCGATGGGTCTCGAAGATTCCGTCGAGCCGTGGATCGATGGGTTCTGGCCGGCGCTTCTCGGCGCTTCGTCGACGGCGACCGTGACGCCGGTTGTCGACAACACGACGGTCGTGGCGGCCATCACGCAAAGCATGGCGGCCGTTTCGGTCGCGCCCGCAGTGTTGCCGTCGCAGCCGTTCTTGGCGTCGTTCGAGAGCCTCTTGGGCGACACCATTGTCGAACCCGACGCCACCAAGCTGCCGCGGTTGCAAGAACCGTCGTTCTCTGTCTCGTTGCTTGCGCCCTCGGACGCGATTGCCAAGACGGTGGCCCAGGTCGCGACGGACACGCTGTACAGCGCGTCGAGTCCGTTTCTCGCTGGCATCGCGTCATCGCGGTACCTCACGACCCCGGCGTCCATCGATCGCACGGTCTTTGCCCTCGACCTCGACCTCACCGACTCGGGTATACGCCCCTTCGACACGCATGTTCTTATCGCATGTAGGGATGACGTATGCACCGGGTGACGTGCTCGGTGTCAACTGCCCCAACGACGACGGGCTCGTCGAGTTCTTTCTGCAGCGCTTGCAGCTTGCATCGTTTGCCGGCCACCGCCTCCAGCTCGAGCCGATCGCTTCGAGCAAGAAGAAGGTGTCGGGCATGCCGTTCCCGGCCCACGCGACCTTGCGCGACGTCGTCCGCGACCACTTGGATTTGGCCGCGCTTCCCAAGAAGGCGACGCTTCGCACCCTCGCGCCGCACTGTGCCGACGCCAAGGAGCGCACGCGTCTGCTCTGGCTGAGCAGCAAGGACGGCGCGCAGGACTTTAAAACGTTTATTGACGCCCAGTACCTCAGTGTCCTCGAAGTGCTCGCGCTCTTCCCGTCGTGCCACCCGCCGCTGCCCGTGCTGCTCTCGGTCCTTCCCCGCCTCTCGCCGCGCTACTACTCGATCGCGTCGTCGCCACTGGCGTCGCCTCTGCGCGCGACCATTGCGCTCACGCGCGTCGCCTACACGCAGCACGGCATTCCGCGGACGGGTCTCTGCTCCACGTGGCTGCATGACGTGGCGTTCTCCGGTGCGAGAACGCGCATCCCGATCTTTCTCAAGCCCGCGACCGACTTTGTCTTGCCGGACGACGCTTCGCGCCCGCTCGTGCTCATCGGTCCCGGCACCGGTGTCGCGCCGTTCGTGGGGTTTGTGCAGCACCGGTCGCTTCAGGTACACGTCGTTATTTTTTACGATATTATAGACCAATGGGACTCTAGGCGGCCCCGACACCGATCCACCTCTTCTTTGGCTGTCGCAGCAAGACCCAGGACTTTCTCTTTGGCGACAAGCTCCAGCAATACGCCGAGAGCGGTGTCTTGACGACCCTGGCGCTAGCGTTCTCGCGCGACCAGGTGCACACTCCCGGTTCCTTGTCCGTGCGCTCACCTTCTTCTCTTTGCAGGCGGAGAAGCACTATGTGCAACACGAGCTCGCTGTGCATGGCGCGACCGTCTATGACGCGCTCGCCAACGCCAACGGCATCGTGTACGTCTGCGGCGATGGCATGCACATGGCCAAGGACGTGCACGACGCGCTTGTCTCGGTCTTTGAAACGCACGGGGCACTCTCGCGGGTCGACGCCGAAGCGCAGCTCAAGCAACTCGCACTCGACGCCCGCTACGTGCGCGACATTTGGTGCTAAACCTCTGTTAATGGAGAGAATATTGTCCTTTCTGTGCACAACATGTCTTGAAGACGATGTGGGTCACTCCCACTGGTTGCTGACTTCGGGCGGGCGAATGGCGACAGCCTGCTTGGCGCTCTCAACCTGCAACGCGTGCTGCCACCGCTTCACAAGAGTGTCTTCCATCTCCTTGTTCGGGTTGCGGAGCACGGCCACGCTATACTCGCCTAGAGCCGCCAGCGCTTGGGCCGCGAGCTACAACCGTGTGAATAGTATCGATTTATCAACCGGGCAATGAACCTCGGGTTTCTTGGCGACGAGCGCGACGTACAGCGCGTCATGGAAGCGTCGGCGGTGCATCAACGGCGCAATGTGCGCCTCGACGTCGATACCTTGACGTACGAGTGCCGCGATCGATCGCTGCAAGAGCGACGTGCCCTACGCCACTGTGTCCCGACTCGTCTTGATACAAAGTCGATAATCTACCAGAATGTCGTCGCTGTCGAGAGACGATCCGAGAAGGTGCGGCAGGAGCGTGCACAGCGTCTCGGTCGCAGTGTGCTGATGGACGATGTTGAAAGGACACTAACGACCAAGTTACGTACCTTGATGCAGAGGTTGGCTTGGATGTTCAGCGACACACTGGGCAGCGTCAAGGCCAGCGTGCCAAAACCAAACGCCTGGTAACCCGTCGAATCAAAACGAGCCATATACCACGAGTCGTACATCCAGATACGTGGCGAGGTAGTCGGCGAGGTCGAGGCTAATGTGCGGCGCGAGTGCCACCGCTCTCGTGGGCGACCCTTGCGCCACAAACATGCAAAACTGCAGCACTTCATTCGTGAGGTCGATCGCATAGACGCTAGTTCATGGTACTGGCCCCATCATCCCTTGTATAAAGAGCGTACCACTGGTGCACGCAGGTCATGTAGAGCTGCTCCTTGACGACACCGAGCAGCTGGAGGCCGCCACCAGGGTGTTGCTACATGTACACGTCGTCTTTCGAAAAGCAGCTTGATAGTGCACCTGCCGGACGGGCAGCTCGGCCGGGTGGATGCCCATGGGGTTGGCATTCTCGTTGAAGGACGCCGCACTGGCGAGGAGGAAGCTGAACGAGCGGCTGCCGCAGAAAAAGTAGCTCGTAATGTCCTCGTTGGTCGCGACAAAGAGCGTCATGTGCACCCAGAGCACCGAGACGACGGGCCGCGCGACGGCGATGCGGTGCAGAAGCGTGAGGACGCCGTCCCGGTACCGGTACAGGAGCATGTTGCGCGTGAAGACAAGGACGCAAAAGACGCCCGACTTGTCCCACTCGAGAAGCAGAGGTCCTTGCAGTGTTTCCCCGACCTACGCGTGCGAGACGAGTGTACGAACGAAGAGGAAGATGCGCCCGCGCACCTTGGTCAACTGCTTGGGCAACGACGGGTGGCCGTCCACGGCGGCCATCTCGGGCGCGCCCCACTCGTAAAACTCGAGGTGGATCTTGACGTTGGCGACATCATCGACGCCGGCGGCCATGGACGCCGACGTCGCATCCAAAGGCTTTGCTTTGGGCGACGCTGGCTTGTCGTCGGGCAAAACGCAGTACACGACACCGAGAAGCGGGCCCGAAAAGACGTGTACGATCGGGTGTCGAAGCGTGAGCCGATCGACAAGCACGTTGGCTACACCGTTGACAATGTCGTAGAGCGCGATCGACGTCTCGGCCTCGAGGCTCTTGACGTCGTTCTTGTAAAAGTACGAGAGCTGCGGCCCTGTGACGACATGTGTGTCATCGGCTTTGGAGAAGAAACCGAGCTTGCGCCGCGGGCTCTCGGTTGGCAAGACCGCCGCCGACGCGCTGCGCGTCATGCGCCGCGTTGGCGCCTCGTGCATCTAGAGCTTGGCATCACTACACGTATCAATGTATCGAGTGCGTACGGACAAGAGTGCGTAACGCAGCTTGTCGTGGTGCCATGCGATCGCTTGACCAGGTCCGTGCGTCACCTACGTCGACACGACCGTTGACAACTCGGATGTCTCTAATACCGCCGCACCATTTGGTATTGAACAGTATGGCTGTCGCGCAGCACCGACACCACCTGCGTCGACATTGACGGAATGCAAACTGGCGCGACTGCACCTCAAAGTTGGCACCGTTGGCGGCGAGAATGGCGAGCATATCGCGCGACGGGTGCTTCCGGAGCACTGGAATCGACTCTTTGGTCACGTACTTGAGCGCGTAGAGCTCCTTCTTGGCCTTCTCGAGGAGCGGCACTGTGCGCAGATGCGTATTGGTGCTCAGGATCACGGCCGGAAGCCTAGCATCGACGCTAGTCCGCCATGTACACTACGGCCACGTACCCTGCCATCATTGTGGCGACGTGCGGTTTGAGGTGATGCAGCTTGAAGAGCAAGAGCCCTGCGATCGTGAGCAGCGTCCACAGAGTCTCATGTACCGTGGTTGGTCGCGCACCCGATGAGCGACTGGTCGCGCGGACACTGCACGACCGTGTTGATCTTGAGCTTCTTCGGTACTTTCTGCGCCAGCTCAATGCCCGACGAGGCATGGTGTGCGTACCGGGTGCAACGTGCGCACGTCTTTGGACACGTCGGCGCGCATGAGCGAGACATCGCCATCCGGCGTCGTCGGCTACATGCTGCGTCAGGGTCCGTGGGAATATGCGCCATCCATCGACGTACCTTGCCCTTCGAGTTGAGGTCCGAGATAAAGAGCTATGTAAATCAGAAAAATTACGCAAAAATCAAGCAAAAATCAAGCAAAAATCAAGCTCGACGACAATACAAGCGACGTCTGCGCGCACTGGAGCAGCACAAAGTTGTTTTTGCTCGAGCCCAAGAAGAGCGTCGCTTGCGTCGGTCGGATCGCGGTGGGCGCGGCCAAAAACCCTCCCGCAAAGGTAACCCTACCCCGATAGCGTCCTACTTTTCAAGAACTGTGACATAACACACCGCTGTTCCTTTTGTTTCGGTCTATCAAGGTATCAAGTCAAGTGCCAGAATGTGGAATACGCACCGGGACGAGAGCAGGAACGAGACGTCGTAGAACAGGACGTGGCCGTCCTTGGAAACGCCAGCGATCGCGCCGTCTTGGCGCAGAAGCGTGACTTCGAGGAAGCCGGCCGCTTGCTTGGTGTCAAACTCGCTCGCGCGCGACTGCTGAAACTCGCTTTCCAAGTGGTGCAGCGACCACACCTACGTTATTGTCGACTTTCACGCACGTTAAATGGACGCCAAAGAGGTACAATTGCTTTGCCCTCGGCGTTGATCGTGGTCAAGAAGCAGTGGAACTCGCTCGAGTGAAAGAGCGTATTGGGCGTCGTGTGCATGTGGCCGCCCGTGGACGGAATCAGCACCATGTGGGCGACGTCTACACCGCCACGTCATGGTTAATGCGACGATGGGAGGACGCACCGCGGGGCAGCCCCGTGTCGATGACATGGCACACTTTGGCCATGCGAGGGCTCCAGACGCGCACCTTGCTGTCGCTGCAGCCTGAACCGCCGTGACAAGCGTGCTGCAGAAAGTGCATTACCTATGGCGAGGAAGCCGCCCGGGAGCGTCTCGATCGATGTGGGTGTGGCGCGCTGGAGCTCGTCGGGCGTGATCAGTCGCGTCTACCAGCAACTCGTAAAGGTACGTCGTGCGACAGCGGACGCACGGTTTTGCCATTGATGTCGCAAAAGAGGACGTGGTGCAACGTAAAGATGACGAGGTACTCTTCGTAGCATTCGATGCCATGGGCGACGCCAGACGCATGAGCGATCGCGTCGCGATCAAAGAAGAGAAGCGTCGCTGTCGCCTTGGTTTTGCTGCCGCCGAGCTTGGGCGAGAACGTCTTGGAGAGGTTGATCGCGCCCGGCGACTGCGGCGTGTCGGGCTCTGCGGGTGCCGCCGCATCTTCGCCCGTCTACGCCCATCGCGTTTGCCGATGCTTGCATAAATACGATGTGTACCGTGAGCGAGAAGCGCTTCAAGACCTCCTTTGTCTCGTAGTTCCAGACGACGCCAAAGTCCTTGTCTTCGACCGCCGCCGCCCATGGCCGGATCGGGTGGAACGTCAAGCCCGAGAGCTTGCTCTTCTTCTTACCCTGAAGACCATCGGCCGTCAAGAGCGCGTGGAACTCCATGCCAAACTTGTGGACGACCGTCGCCTCGGCCGGCAGCGTCCATGGCTCCGTCGTGTCCATGGCTCGTCGAACGCGATCTTTGAATTTCAACCAATCCCAAGCGACCGCGCTTGCGATTGGCCAAAATCATTTCGAAACAAGATCGCAAAAACCCTCGACCGACATTTCATCTCCAACGAACGACCTATCTCGACAAGCTCGTAACAAGACGGTGCAGGACTAGCAAGGTCTACCTCGTTGGCTCAAGAGCTAAAGAGACTCGGGATGGCCGCAGGAAGCGACCGATCATCGCTGCTACTGCTGGTTTCCTATCACTCGACGCCCCACAGCATCTCTCCGGGCGCGATGTATCCAGCTGCTATATCACTGCGTACGCCAGCTACGAGCAGCAACAAAAGCGTGCTGGTAGGGCGCATCCTGCTCCTGTGTTTAAAACGGAAGCTAGATTCTGTCCCTACACGGCGACCTTGAAGTCGATGGAAACCGATTCGGCCAATGGCCTTGCGCCATCTATAGAAAATCAGCCAATCACGCATAGGCCGTCAGAGCATACAAACCGCAAGATCAGATCTTGTTGCGATGGCCGGGACGTTACTCCACCTTTGGCCACGAGCCCGACAGACGCCCGACCGACGACCGCTTCCTGCATCCATGGGCAGCTCTATTAGCTGGTGCACGAACCCGACGCATGATGGTGGCCTTCCATGGCAGCGACGACCTCGCCTCACGTCGATGTAGAGTGCCTAGAGAAGGCGCCGTCGCCGCTGCTCCTGCGCATGCACTCGTTCTCGTTCGATGGCGACGCGCATGGCCCACCACGGTCACCGTCCCGGTGCGTGCACATGTAATAGCAGGCGACGCGCTCATATCAATCTCTTGTAGCGCCGAGACACCTGGCGGTAAGCTACTGCGCGACTACTACAACCATGTGGTCGAGACCGAGAGCAACAGCGGGTGGGTCCTCATCGCACGGCCTCCTACTAGTCGCTACACCATCACCGATGATTAGCACCGACGATAGCGAATGTGCTGACGAGTAGGCACTTCCGTGCACCTCGATCCTGCACTTGAACGATCGTCGTGTAGGAAGCAAGTGCCCACGGCGCTGCTGCCACTCATCCACCCGACGCTCTCGGTGCGCGAGTCCAAGCGGCTAACGATCGACGCGACGCTTCACATGTACTCGACCATCGACCTGCGTCCATCATCGGTACCTTCGCATGCGATTTCATCCCAAGACGACACCCTTTGCAGGCCGAGCCGCCATGCCGAAAGGTGCGAGCCGCCTCGATGGACGCCATGCTGCGGAGTCCGCCACGCAGCCCCGTCGCCAAGCGGGTACGCCTCCACCACATACATAGTCGAATCCACCGACTAAGATACTGCTCGTAGGAGTGGGCGTACAAACCGTTTTGGTGCGACTTGCCGACGCGCGCACTGCCATTGACGCCTCGGTCGCCCGCGGCGAGCTAGTTAGTCGATAACAATAACTACTATTAGTATATAAGATGTCTACACCGTGGGCTTGACCCACGTGCTAATGCCCCGCTTCGCATGCGAGTAGTAGAACTTGCCGCGGATGCTGCGGCTCTCGCGCTTGACCCAGCCCGGCGGCAGCTTTTCTTCCTTGGGCATATCGGCCATCTGCTGCGCGCGCTTGGTCATCTCTTCCGGGTGGAAGTGGCAGATTTCCCTATGAGTCAGCATCTCAATCTCAACCTCAAAAACAAAACCAACGCACCGAAACATAAGCTCCTTGAGGTCCGTCTCGCCGAGGTCTTCGAAATCAAAGCTTTGAAACTTCTCGACCGTCGTGTCGCGCGACGCGTCATAGTACTGCGCGAGGTACGGGTGTCGCAGCGCGTCTTGCACCGAGAGCCGCTTGGTCGCGTCAAAGACGAGCAGCTTCCACAGCAGGTCGAGGGCCTCGGGGTTCGCGTTCGGGAAGAGCACCGAGACGTCAATGCCCTGCATCGACGGCGTCTTGCTCAAGAGCTGGCGGCCCTTGAACTTTTGCGCTTGTGGGTTCTCCTTGAACGAGTGCTCCTCGGGCACGCCGAGCACGTTCATGATGAGCTGGAGCTGGTGCACATATGACCGCCCGGGGAAGAGCGGCTTGCGGCCCAGCATCTCGGCCATGATACAGCCGGCCGCCCACACGTCGACGCCTTCGTCGTACGTGCTGCCGAGGAGGAGCTCAGGCGCTCGGTACCAGCGCGTCACCACGTACTCGGTCATGCCAAGATCGTCAACGTCTTTCGGTCGCGCAAGGCCCATGTCGCAAATCTTGAGCTGGCAGTCCGAGTTGATGAGGAGGTTGCTCGGCTTGAGGTCGCGGTGGAGCACGCCGCACGCGTGCATGTGCTCGAGGCCGCTCAGCATCTGGTAGACAAAGTACCGAATGTGGTCGTCGCTCAGCACTTCCTTCGAGTAGATGATCCGGTGCAGATCCATCTCCATGAGGTCGACCGTCATGTAGACGTCCCGGAAATCTTGGTACGACGGCGGCGGAATGAGGTCCATGAGCGACAGAATGTTCTCGTGGCAGAGGTGCCGCATCAGGCGCACTTCGCGCAGAATTTGCTTGAGCTGGTGCGGGTGCCAGATGCAGTCAATCACCTTCTTGATCGCGACGCTGCCACCCGTGTCGTTGTTGGTCGCGGCAATCACGATGCCGTACGCACCGCGGCCGCAGACCTTGATGAGGTTGTAGTGCTTTGGGATCACAAACGGCGCGCTGCAGACGGTAAAGACGTGCATGGTGGCGTCGTCTTCGCACTCTTTCGCCTTGAGCGGGTCGATCATGAACGCCGACTCGGGCGACTCGGGCTTCTCGCCACTTTCCAATGCCGACTTGGGATCGACGTTGACGTTGGACCAGCCGGGGCGCCCAATCTCCTCGGCGTTCTTCTTGGCGTGCCACTGCATGAGGTGCACCGGCGTGCCCCGGCCGTCGTCCGACTTCGGCTTGTCGTCAATGACCGAGCACGACACGCTGATCTGGACCCGGCCGCAAAACTCGCCCTTGCCGTTGCCCATCGTCACCCACTGCGTCTGGCCCGCGCTCTGCTCGACAATGTACCGGGCAACGTTGACGGTCGCGGACGCCGCGACTGCCTTCTCGCCCTTGGCCATCTCAACGACGTCGACGTGGAGCCGGCACGGGCCCTGAATGTTCTCGAACGGAAGCTCAATCACCGCGTTCCACACGGGCGCGACCACGTCCGAGTTGGAGAGACCGCGGTTCCGCGCCACGTCCGTCATGTTGTCCTCGCCGCTCTTGCGCTCAAAGGCCATGGGCGTTGAGCTCGCGCTGCTGGACGCCGACGACATGGTCTGCCGGTACATCATGCTGCTCGCCGAACTTAGCCGACGAGAGATCGTCGCAGGGAGGGACGGCAACTGCACCGGGATCGGCAACGACGGCAGGTACGACGACGCCGTCGACGTCGGTGCCGGTGGCGGCGGTGGCGGCTCGTCGCCCGTGAGCAGCTTGAGAATCACCCGCGGGTCCTTGAGGCCGACGCCGGTCGAGCTCTTCTTGCCCGACGCCGTGATCCGCGACTTGATGCCCGAGCCTTGCAGCACGCGCACGGTGAGCGTGCCAGACGTGGGCGTCGGCACTTCGTGGAGGTCCTGCGGCAAGCTCAGGGTCGTGGCCGCGCCGGGGACCTTGAAGACGGCCGAGGCCGCAACGACATCGCCGTTGATTTCAAACTTCATGAGGCGGCCGTCGGGGCTAAAGTTGAACTTGTGCACCCAGTTTTGGACAAACTTGCGCCGGTCTTTGGCGTTCTCGAGCTCCTCCTTGCCGGACGCGACCGCGACGCTGTCTTCCATCACAATGCCCTCAATCTTGAAGTGGTACCACAGCGTGTTGGACGCAAAGAGGTTGAGGTACGTGAGGAGCCCAGCGATACCCCGGTAGTTTCCGCAAAATGGCACGGACGGCGGGTAGTTGCTCGAGATCAAAATGTCCTTGTCGAGAAGCCGAAAGAAGCGCGTAAAGACCTGCTCGGACGGCGGCGGGACCGTCACGGCCATGTCGCCCGACGTGCGCCAGTTGCCGCTGAACGCCGTGTAGAGCACGATCAACATCGCGTAAAATTCTTCAATTTCGAGCGGAAAGACGGGCAGATCCGGAAGGGACACCATGGCCTCCTGCGCGAGCCGCATCCAGATCACGCGCTCCATGGCCGACGGCGCCGTGAGCTGCAGCGTCTTGCCATCGGCGGTCGCAAACACAAAGCCGTGGGTCCGACCCGGCGCCTCCTTGACGCCCGAGATCGTGTACGCCGTGTACGCGGGCGGCGGCGGCGGCTTGCCGTCCACGGGCGACAGTTGCAGCGTCGCCACGTACGCCTCCTTGGATGCATACCCTAGGCGCAACGATAAGACCATGGGATATAGAGAATTTTGCCAGCGTACGCTTGAGCGTCGTGCCATGTAGCACGTAGTAGTGCTTCTCCCATCGCCGGAGCCACTCGCTGCGCTTGCTCAGAAAGCCTTCCCACTCGATGGGCTCGAGCACCGATGGCACGAGATCGTCGAGCACGGGCGTGTCGCCCATCTCGACGGCTTCCTTGGCGTCGTCGAGGATGCTCTGGAGGTCGTCGCCGGCGTCGTCGGGAAGGCCGTTGACCGAGACCGAGATCCGTCCCGTCTCCGACATGGAGAGCGACTGGTGGTACAAGTTGGACTCTTTCCCGCCTTTGCTGAGCCGCGCGTCCATGAGCACTTCGGTTGCGGTCTCGGAGATGCTGCCAATGTCCATGCGGGCCAAGGACGCGCCGAGCGAGAGCCGGCCGTACTCGAGCGTCAAGCTTTCGAGGCTGCTTCGGAGCGGCGGGTCCATCCCGAGCTCCTCGAAGAGCGACTGCCGCCACGCGCGCTCGCGCTCGCCGCTCGTGTAGCAGTCGCTCTGCGTCCTCGACTTGCGCTTCGGCGCACTCTCGGCCATCCTCTGTGTGGGGTTTTGAGTAACAGCCTGCGGCCTGTTTACCGGATTTTTCCCGGGGACTTTCTACATCAACCGGATAACCCACGTTGCGCGTATAGACAGGAGCCACGACGACGGTCGTCGTACTAGTAGCCGACGCCTGCTGAGGCGAGGTTGCGTGCGTCCAGCAAAGCCGACCGCGTCCTGCTCAAGACCCAGCGTCGAGCGCCACGTTCATGCAATGCTGAATGGATAGGCTAAAATCACGCCATTCGTGATAGACCACGGCCCGTGAGCAACGCGCCGGTTCAACCCGCTGGTCGAGCGTTCTTGAAGAGGTTCTTGAAGCCTAAAGGCCTGCTTGAAGCCCGTTGTTATGCTTGCATATTGGTCGTTCCTTCTCGCACGATTATTTAGTGTCAGAGTTGTCGATCAAGGACACTCGAAGCTGACGACTCGACACCTTGCTGGGCGCACGTGGCTCCGTTGTCGTCTGCGCGCGCTGCAGGTTGTGCTTCAATCTGATATCCTCACGCCATAGAAGGACAGTGTTGCCAGGTGTATGTGCCGTCGCCAGCGCCCCGCGAAATGTGAGCAACGGGTCTGCGGTCGGGGCGAAGTTGGGTGCGATTAGAGTCACGTCAGTTTGCCTTTTCGAGCGAAAATGCCCAAGCCGCGGATCCTCGTGCTCGGCGGCGTCGGCATGATTGGCCGCAACTTTGTCAAGCACTGCGTCGACCACGACCTCTGCAGCTACATCCGCGTCGCCGACAAGTCGATGCCCGAGATCTCGTACTTCAAGTAAGTCTTCCTCCTTGTTTCTCGACCTCATGAATTGCTGCGAATAGCCCGAGCCACAAGGCGGCGTTCGCGTCCGACGTTGTCGAGTACGTCCAAGCCGACCTCACGCGCGACGCCCACGTCGAGAAGGCCTTCAAGGCCGAGGTGGGGCCGTACGACTATGTCTTCAACCTCGCCGGCGAGACCAAGTGCTCGCAGCCCGAAGCCGTGTACAGCGCCAAGGTACACCACGCCTCCGTCTCGTCGCATATACCTTCATGGAATGCTCACAGTGCCGAGACCTCTCGATCAAATGCGGTACGTGGGGCTCGCACCGCGCACCATTTGCATACGAGGCGAGTAGCGGCCAAAGCTCAGGAGCTCGACGTCAAGATGTTTGTCGAGGTCTCGACCGCGTTCGTGTACAAGTCGCAGACCAAGGCGCCGGCGACCGAAGACGCAGTGCTTGATCCGTGGACGCTCCAAGCCAAATTCAAGCTCCAAGTACATCGCTCGACCGGTAGTAGGGCTCATCTCTCTGGCACTAGGCAGAGGACGCGCTTCGAGCCATGACGGGGCTCAACGTTGTGTTTGTGCGCCCAGCGACCGTACGTGACGGTTGGTCTCTGCTTGCACCTATCGTGACGAGTAGGTCTACGGACCTGGCGACGTCATGGGGCTCATGCCTCGCATCGTCTGCGCTGCCTCGTACGACATGATGGCATTTTGCGCAACATACTTATTGGGAAGCATAGGTACGTCCAGCTCCAGGAAAAGATGAAGCTGCTCTGGGACGAAGAGCTGCGCGTCAACACGGTGCGTCAGAGACACTTGGATGGCGATCCTCAGAGACCGAATTAGGTTCATGTGATGGACGTGGTGCGGGCGCTCTGGCACGTGGCGACGCATGGTGAGGCGAGTCACGTCTACAACGTCGCCGACAAGAACGACACGAGTACGACACTGTAGCATCACAGGCTATGACGCGGTGTGCGTAGACCAAGGCAAGCTCAACGCGCTCCTCGGCCCGCTCTTTGGCATCGACACGGGCTTCATCGGCAAGCTCATCTCGAACCTCGCGCGTGTACGCCTCGCTCAAACCATCGAATATGGCTTACTTGTACTGGACCCGTAGCTCCGGCTCGGCGACGTCGTCGACGATGTCAACGACAAGCACATGAAGCCGTGGTCGGACCTCTGCAGCGTACGATGCTCTGGATGCGCCAAGCTGCAACAACGTGCGTAGGTACATGGCGTGACCAACACGCCGCTGACGCCGTACTTGGACAAGGAGCTGCTCGCGCACCACCAGCTCTACATCAACGGCGCCAAGCTCGAAGCAATTGGGTTCGAGTACATGTACCCACTGGTGCGCCCATCTCGCCTACGTAGCGCATCCTCTTCATCTGTGTAGCTCACCATCGACGAGCTCCGTGACGTCATTGAGGGCGCGATCGCCCAGCGCATCTTCCCGCCGATCCTCGCGTGAGCGGCTGCCAGGGTGCCACGTGGGAAGCTGCAAGCGCCCACCTGGCTCCGCGAAACCATACTTCATATACTACTTGGCGCGCTTCAACACGGCAAATAGTGTATCAAATCGATTGCAGGCACTCGATGCGCTCGAGCGACGCAGTTGGTTTCATTGCGATGTAGACAACGACTAGATGCTCGTACAACCAAGGTGGCGGGGTATCGGTAGGCGTCACGCGCGCGTCGTCGTGCCTGTGTTCATTGCATACACTATTTGCATCCCACCTGTGGAAAAGCATAATTGTATAAATGCATACGCTGCGTGTATTTATGAGCTCCGGAAAAAGACCGGGGTCGCACCCACTTGGCGGACTATTTTATAGGTTGATGTTTGTATGACCATGCGCTTATTTGAATTAAATTGCGTGGCAATGGGTAGAGGGTCCGCCAGTTGGCGAGACTCATACTGAAACCAAGTGACTTGCGCGACTGAATTGGGCCACCTTGGCGGATTCGACCACACGAAGAGATGGCGGCAATGGCGCACAAGGAGGAATGGCCGACGTCGGCCGAGGACTACAACGTCATCGAGAAGATCGGCCAGGTGCTGCGGCGCTGTGACGCTGGCGGCTCATGGCCATGGCTGTAGGGCGCCTTCGCCAAGGTCATGAAGGCCTACTGCAAGCCCAAGGACGTGTTTGTCGCGATCAAGATCATGGACCTCGAGAAGATCACGACGAGCTTTGAGGACATCCGGGTACACTACATCAGCGCAAGCCATGGCCAGTGATGCAACGGCGTGGCGATGCTAGGCCGAAGTCCAGACGATGAAGATGACCAACCACCCGAACGTCCTCAACTGCTATTGCAGGTACGGCCATCCCGCATTCGCCATGTTGGGCTCACGATACATCGATAGCTTTGTGCACAAGGATCAATTGTGGCTTGTCATGCAGCTCATGAACAAGGGCTCGTGTTTGCATGCCATGAACCAGCTCAAGAAGAAGTCACTCGGCGAAGGCATGAAGGTACCGGCTCTTGGCCAGTCGATCCCCTTAAGATGTCATGCGCTTCCAGGAGGAACTCCTCGCCGTCATTCTCAAGGAGACGCTTCAAGGCCTTCAGTACTTTCATGAGAATGGGCAGATCCACCGGTACACGCCCGTGTCCACCTCGAGAAGCACTCATATGTGTTGGATAGCGACATCAAGGCCGGAAACATTCTCTTGGACAGCAATGGCCACGTCGTGATTGCTGACTTTGGCGTCTCGGGCTGGATGATGGAAGGCGGCGATCGTCGCAAGAACCGCCAGGTGGATGCGCCGTGCTCGACCTCGTCCTGAACGCACTCCTGTCCTAGACGTTTGTGGGTACGCCGTGCTGGATGGCGCCAGAAGTCATGGAGCAAGTGCGCGGCTACGACTACAAGGCCGACATTTGGTCGTTTGGTATCACTGCCCTCGAGCTCGCCAAGGGCTACGCGCCGTACGCCCGGTACCAGCCCATGAAGGTACTACTACGTCTTGTCGATCGACGCAGCTTCTTACATTCGCCACACCAGGTGCTGTTGCTGACGCTGCAGGAAGACCCGCCGTCGCTCCGAACCTATGACGTACGCGCGTCACTCGTCGACGACGATTGGACTCATTCTCTTGTAGGACGATGGCACGGGGCATCAGTTTTCGCGTCATTTCAAGGACATGGTGCGTCTTTGCTTACAGAAGGACCCGGCCAAGCGGTACGACGACCGTCCCTTGGATGGCCCTATGGACACGTTGACTAGGCCGTCGACGTCGACGCTCCTCAAGCACCATTTTTTTAAGAAGGCGGGCACGTGCCCGTTTCTGGCGGCCGAGCTGCTCTCCAAGGTCGACGACATTGGCGAGAGCTCAATGAGCGCGCAGTCGCTCCCAGGGTACTACAGTTGGCGTGCGTATTCCTCTTGATATATGATGTTTAGGTCGGGCCCGCTCTACTCCAAGGAGAGCGCGGATGAAGCCAAGTACGTGCCGGGCACGACGTGGGTCTTTGACGACGAAGACGACAAGCCAAAGGGCGCCGTTGACGATGACATGGACGACTTTGCGTCCCAGTTTGACAAGGTCAGCGGCGAGACGTACCGGAAAGACTAGTCGACGCAAATAGTTCAAGTAACCCAATATGGACACATGAGTTTCTACTTGCGAGTTGTGTGCACATGCCCTGCACGTTTTCACGGCTGTTGAACATCATGAGAGTTCGGTTGACATCTCTATCGTCAGCCCGAGGATTAGGGTCGCTTTGCTTGGAGTTGTTGGAGGCGGTGCGATGCATCATTGGCAGCACGATGACAGGAATTAAATTCGAATTACATTTTAGTTGATGCGGAGCGACTAAGATTTAGTCAATTCAATACGGAATGTCGGCACCGCCGGACAGACAACTGCAGGCACCATTTTAGTACTTCTACAGTCCCCTGGGCGACGTCGCGAGAGCAGCGATGAGCTGACACTGCGCAAGCGACGTCGGCGATGCCAAGTTGGTTTTGTGCTTGCTTGACCCTGCCACTCCACAGTACTTTGGACAGTGACAGTAACGCCTATACAAGCACGGTCTCTCGACTGCTCTACTCTTCTTCTACTTGCTTAGTCGTCATCGGTCCTATTTGCAAATGAGAATCTCAATGAGAAATCCGGACAAACGATTGGCTGCGGCGTTGCCTCTCAATCTCAATGTGCAAAATGCATTCTCAGAGGTTTTCAACCGTCGATGATCCGGATACTAGGTTACGTATCCGGATGATCTCGCAACAAGAATGTTGGTAGACAGGACACGAGCCAAAAATGTTGAAATTTTCTCGGTCGCTTCATGGAGCCTCCACCTCGGACAAAGCGACTACGACTACAGCTACTAGTACCTACTAGTACAACTACGGAATAGCTCCACCCCATTCGAGGGGCACAGCCGGAACGAGCTTAAATGTTAGAGCCCGAATCGAGTCGAGCACAATTGTCTTGCGCAAGAATCGAGTCTATTAGCACAAGACCACATCGCGTAGACGGGCGAAGCGCGATGTTGGTTCTCTTTCATGGGGATCTGGGCACAGACATGCTCTGCATGTGGCAGCAGCAGTGGCATTGGCATATTCATACTCGATGTTAATATATAGAGACGTGGTGCGGCTAGACTGCCCGCTCGGGCTGCCGCAGTCGTTCTTGTCCGCAGTTGGTCTTGGACGCGTTGACCGCGAGCATACCGCACGCATTCGCAGCGCGTCGAATGTGGCGCGAGACCGGCGGCACGACGAGCAACACGAGCGCGAGGACGTTGAGGACGACGCAGCTGACAAACCCGAGCAGGTTCAGCGGCGTTTTCAGCACAATAAAGTACACGTGGCGGCGCGCCATGCCACTGCGCGACTCGATGCGGTCCAAGAGCGCGTGGCCGGCCTCGCGCGGACTGAGTGAGTTGGCAAAATACAGATCCATGTCGGCCACGCCGTCCGCGAGCTGGAGGGCGCTTTGGAGCGCAAGTAGCGACACGGGCAACAGCAAGAGATGGACGACGAGGAACGCTAGGCTCACAGGAATGTTGATGACGCCATACGCCAAGAGGACGGGCGCAAACTGTGCCTTCCACGCCTCGTCGTCGGCCGTCGGCGCCTTGTCCGCGACCGGGTGCTGCGGGAGGTCGCGGGCGACAGCCGACGCCGCCATCGGCGCCGTCTTGGGCGACGCCAGACGCGTGTACGTCACGGGCGGCAGCACCTCGTTGGTGTTGTTGGTGTTGTCATGGGTGCTACTTGACGAGGCCGAGGCCGAAAGCACCGTGGTCGATGTTGGCGCAGGTGGCGGTACACCATCCTTCTTCTCGGGCACGTGGTCCATGGCCGCTTCGTCTTCGTCGTTAAAGTCGTCGTCGTTGAGGTCCTCAAAGGACTCGCCGGCTTCCGCCCACTTGATCTTGTTGAGGTCGATGGGCGTTTCCAGGACGATACTCGACACTTGGCGCTCAAACTTGGCGAGGTTGATGCGCTGCTTCTTCTTCTCGGGCACGCCAAGCATGTACAAGACGTCTTCGTCGTCCTTCTTTTGCTTTTGCCGGAGCAGCGTGCGTGTGCTCTGAATGTCAAACCGGTTGGACGTGATCGCCGCCGACCGCTCAAAGGTGGCGCCGTCCGACGACGTGTAGACCACAATCTGCACAACGTAGTTGAGGTCGTCGCTGTCGTTGTCGTCGACGCGGCGCTTCTTGGGCAGCTCCGCGTCAAACTTCCACACCTCAGGTAGAAAGTACACGTTGGTCGTCGACGGACTCATGTCGCTGGTTGCACCCAACGTCCACGACTGCTGGAGCGCATGGACACCGGCGCTCGAGAGCGACAGCGGCGCGTCCGCATCGACGGGCTTGGCGACTGTCTGGCAGCGCGCGAGCACGAGGAGGTGGGCGGGCGGCGCCGGGTGCGACACGCGGACCTTGACCGGCGCGCGACACACGCCCTTCCCTGCATGTTCGAGGCCGTGCATCTTGGCTTCGTAGTAGTTGCCGTGCTCGCGGCAGTACGGAAAGCACTGGAGGTTCTTGCGGTCGTTGCGGAAGTACTTGCGCAGAAAGACCGTCTCGAGCACGACGCTGACCTGCGGGTCAAACTCCGAGAGCTGCCCGCCGGCGTTCTGGAACGTGTCGAGGAGCTCGAACGACGAGCTCGCGTGGAGGAGGCGCGAGAGCGAGTCGCGCGCTTCGAGCGAGTGCGACAGCGTCTCAAAGAGCTGCGGGTTGTCCAAGTGCATGGGCGACAGCGTCTTCCCGGCGGCGTTGGCGGTCGCATTGAGGAGCGTCGAGAGAACATCGTCGTCAGGTAGTGACGACGACGACATGTGGTAGATCGGGACGGGCTCCTCCTTGATCGCGATCGAGTCAACGTCCTCCATGTGTTGCTGGACTTCAAACGACGACATGGAGAGGTACGGGACGCGGCCCATGGTGGTCGTCGGTTGCTTCGGCTCGTGGTGCACTTCGGGCGACGCAAAGGTAAAGTCGTCGTCCGTCATGAAGTCCTCCAAGGCTTGGTTGCTCGGGTCGGCCTCGCCGTCCGTCTCGTCCTTGATCTCGTAGCTCATTGGCACGACGAGGCGCGGCGCCACGTCGTTGCACTTGCACATCTTCTTGGTCCATGCGAGACCGAGCGAGTTGGTGTACTGGTCGCAGCTCGGGCAAAAGTTGGCGTACTTGACGTACTTTTCCGGGACATTCTCCTTGAGGTACGCATCGTACGCGCGCGCGGCCTCTTCCTGCGTCCGGCACGTGTTGATGATGCGCTTCGAGCTGTACTTGGCGCCCCACGCGGTCTTGCTCGTGCGCGTCACGCCACGGTACAGCGAGGTCTACACTCCGATCTTAGCCGTCGAGTTCATGCGCCATCGTGCTACTACCTTGCCGTTGGTCATCATGCCGTCGTTCATGGTCTGGTGCGGCCTCTTGCTCGCCGGGTTGCTGCTCGTGGTCGAGGATGCGGTCGAGGATGGGCTCCAGCGACCGGCGTCTGACGTCGTCGTCGTCGTCGCCGAGTAGTCGCTTTCTTCGGACGTGTAGCCGGCTAGTGACGGTGATTCGGGATACGTCGGTGGTCGCGGCACGTGGATCGTCGTCGATGTGCTCGTGTCCTGCTTGGGAAAGATGCCTACAGACGCACCATGAGCACACAGGCCGCCACGTCATGAGATTGCCGTTGAAGAAGTCGGGGTCGTAGTCGAACTCGTCGAGCTCCTCGAGGTTCTGTGTCTCGAGCTGGTTGTTCATCGCTCGGGTCTTGCAAAGTACGTGCCGCTTGATGGCGGCGGCTAGCATCAACTCTCGCAGGTTGCCCGCCTTCTATTCGCGCTTTGTATGCATCTCCAGTGTCCAACAGGCGCCGGCTCTGTCAGACGCTGGAAGAACCTCTGGCATTTTATACTTGCTGGGACACGGCACTGGCTTCTCTACGTGCCATCTGATCGGCGGCCTGGCTCTTCCGTGCACGCCGCCATCGTCGGCGCCAGCGCGCAGCAACAAGGCCATTATTGGTAGCGGTGCATGTACGGGCGCCGATTCTGCGACATTGCATCGCCATCGAGAGGCATGCCCATGTAGTGCGCTGTATGACTGTGAGGCACTGGCCTCCGTGGGCATGCACAGCCCTGCAGCCTGGAGACGACGACAGTGGAGCGGAGATTCGCTTGCGGTGGAAAAGCGCAGAGCTCGTCTCAAGGCTGGCTTCAGTTATCGTGGAGGTCTATTTTAAGGCAAAGAGATGTCACCGGGCTTGATCAATCGCCAAGATGACAGACATTAGCGCGAGTGTCGTGGGGCCGCTCTGGCAGGCGCAGCGCGTCTCGTCCTTCCAGAACCTCACGCGCAGCCTCGACCGGCAGACGACCACGATGCGCGTGCTCTGGGTCGCGGCGGCACTCATGCATGTCATCGCCGGCGCCTTTCTCGGTGGCATGGCGTTTGGCCACTTTTACTTGACGCAGCCGTCGCTCGGCTACGACTATGTGACGGTGCTGCACCTCTACCGCCCCGTGCTCACGACGGTGGTCACCTTTGGTGCACTCGCGACCCTCCACGGTCTTCGCTTGCTGCACATGCTGCTCCGCGCGCTCAAGCCGCCGCACCGCATCGCCACCTCGAGCAAGAGCTCGAACTCACGCAGCTCGGAGACGGGCGGGTTGCAGCACATTGTGCGCTCGGGGTGGCGGCACCTCCGGCTCATCGGCGTCCATGGCCCGTACTTTGAAGTCAAGGTGGCTTTTCGGCACCTCTTGGTGTCGAGCACGAACACGTACCGCGCGTACCGGACCGCGCTCCTCGTGGGCGACCCGGCCATCAACACAACCGTCTCGGTCGTCTTGTGTCTCTACGGGCTGGGCCTTCCGCTCCTATGGATAGCGACACAACGCACGTCGAAAGCGAGCCGGCGGCTCTGGACGAGCCTCGTGCACGTGGCTCTGAACTTTGGCATGAACATCCTACTGCCCATGTGGGTACTCGCGCCGTACGTTGACTTTTTCATTCGACCCGACGCGCTCGAGCTGCAGTACCAAGACACGTACTACCCGATTGGCATTGCGATCTGCCAGACGGTCCTCATCACGTCGCTTCTGGACTATGGGCTCATGGTCTTTACGCAGCTCTTCCTCTTCTCGGCGCTCTACGACTTTGTCGCGTGCTTTTGCAGCAAGCGGCGGCTCACAGCAAGCGAGCTTGTCGCGGACGAAGCCCACCTCCGCGAGGCGCTCAACGTTGTCCGCGGCCGCCTCCTCTCGGTGAGCCTCAATGCGAAAAGGCGGCTCGTGCCAACTCGCAAAATTGGCTTTTTCCCGCGCCAAGCCACCGCAGTTGTTGCGTTTGATGTCACGTCGGCCATCTTTCGCAAGTCGACGCGCAAGCATTCGTCGTATATGACGCTCTGTCTTGGTTACAGCATCCTCGTGGGGTATCTGCTCACGATTGTGTGGGGCCTTGCGATCCTCGGCCTCAACTTTGTGCCGTGGTACGACGTCCATTGCCCGCGGAGCTGCCTCGCGCGCACGCGGCCGTGGTTTAGCCGCACGTGCGCGTGCTTGACGCTCGAGGCGACGTGCGATCCGGCTTCGAATATGCTCGACCTCGACTTTGCCGTTGTGAGTCCGACGTCCGTGGTGTTTCTCATCATCTCGCACTGCCCGCAGCTTTCGATTCCAACCAAAGTGTCGAGCTTGCTCAACCTTGTCGGGCTCTTGATATACAACTCGACGTTGACGACGTGGCCCGAGAACGTGAGTGTGACGCAGTTCAAGCGCTTTTCGTACGCGATGATCGTGAGCACCAACATGACGACGCTGCCGCTCGGGCTCCTCACGGCGCCGTCGAGCTCGTTCATTGACTTGGAGGTATCGCACTCGAACCTCCACGACCTCGGGCTCGGAGTGAGCTACTTTGAGACGCTCTCGGTTGTCTACCTCGAGCACTGCGCATTTCGCGAGTACCCGGCTGAGCTCGTGGTGCATGCGAGCTTGAGCGGATTCTCGCTCGTGCACAATCTGCTCACTTCTATTCCAGACAATCTGTCCTTTCCGGCCTTGATGTACCTCGGCGTCTCGGGCAACGCGATGCTTGGCGACTTGCCCGACGTAATCTTCAACCAATCCTCGTTGTCGCAAGTCGCTTTGGAGGCCACGAACGTGACGCGCCTTCCGTCACCCACCGTATTTGGTCCCAACCTCAGTGTGCTGGCGATGAGCGGCACGCCCTACTGTCTCCGAAATGACACAGCACCGAAGGACGAGGGCATTGTTGTCTGTGACGTCGGAGATTACGTCGACGGCTACTTTCCCTTTGCCCAGATTGTCGCCCAGCGCGCAGCGACTTTCGATTTTTTGTACTATGAGGGATAACTAGTCACGATCGACTACTCCTCTAGTCGACGCTATCTCTCTGCATCTGTAGTCGTTTCGAACGGTACGCGTGTGGTCGCGTCAAACGCCGGTGCCACGTGGGTAGAGCTATCGATGACTCATCTCATATGTCACATGCGTTCTACAATGCCATTCCCACCGACAGGACCTAAGTCGACCATTGTCTCGTGCTCTGGTCATGTCTAGTACTTTACTAAACGCTTGGGTGACCGAGTCGACAGTGGCGTCGTCACGGTTAGGTCCATCGGTTGGGCCTGAGATGGGCGCCAGTGAAATGCCAATTTAGTTGGTTAATGTGCTATTTCCAGCTCGATGAGAGCAGTCGTTGGTTGTACACAGCATTTCGCCCACGATGGTCAAGTGGAACAAGGTCGTGGTCGCGACGTCGCCCGACGACGTTCCGCCCACGCCCGGCGAAGGCCCACGTCCACCGCTCCCGAGCGAGCCGCGTACGCATGCCTTGCCCAAGCGCTTCTTTCGGCTCGTCATCTTTTGCATGCATCTCTCGGGCGCGGGCTTCCTTGCGTTCATGGGCTACGGTCACTGGTACCTGACGCAGACGGCCGGCGGCTACGACTACGCCACAGTGCTGCGGCTCTTCCAGCCCGTGACCACGTCGGTCACAGTCTTTGCAGCCCTCGCGTCGCTCCACGCACTCTACATCTTGCGCTTGTTGTTTCGCTGCGCTAAGCGACGGCCGTCGTTCAAGCAGTACACGGTCGAGGCGCCGCCGCCGTCCTCGAATCGCTGCGTGCGATGGCTCAATGAGCTGCGCGAGGTGCATCGTAGCTTCCGCGTCGACGGCCCCAACTACGAATACAAGCTCGCGACCAAGCACGTGGTCGTTGCCGTCTCGCAGACGTACCGCGCGTACTCGACGAGCGCGCTTGTCGGCGTGAGCTCGATCAACGCAGTGTTTTCGTGCCTCCTCTTCGCCTACGGCGTCGTCGTGCCCGGCCTCTGGCGGTACACGCACATGCCCAAGCAGGCGCGCCGTCAGTATACGCTCATTGCTACGATCGCCATCAACTATGCAGCCAACATCCTGCTCCCGACGTGGATCCTTGCCCCGTATTACGACTACTTCACGCGGCCCGACGCTGGCACGCTCGCGTACGGCGACACGTTCTATCCCATCGGCGTCTCGGTGTGTCAAAGCATCCTCGCGACTTCAGCGCTCGACTTGGTCCTTTCGTGCATCACGCATGTGTTCCTTATGACGGCCATGTCGGACTTTCTCCGCAGCTTGGAACTGCCGCCGTCGACGCGCCGCGTCTCGTCGTCCGTTGCCAGCGGATCACTTCCGAGCAAGTGCCGTATGACGCTGACGCACCTTGTGCACCGCGCGGTCTTTGCGGGGTATGTGTTTAGTGTGCTGTGGGCGCTCGGGATGATCGTCCTCAACTACACGGCGTGGGCGCATCCGCCGTGCACGCGCGGGTGCCTCGCGCAGACCTACCCCTGGCTCACCGGCAAGTGCGCGTGCACTGTCCTCGAGACGACGTGCGACAGCGTCAACGGTACGCTCTTGCTGCCACCGACCGACAGCCTCGAAGTCCGGTCGCTCGTCTTTCTCATCATCTCGCACTGCCCGCACCTTGTCATGCCACCGTCGCTGCAGGCGTTTACAAACCTCATTGGCCTCGAGATCTTCAATTCGACGCTGCTCTCGTGGGATGCGACGGCCAACATTGCGCCTTTGACGCGCTTCTCGTACGCGCAAATGGTCCGCACCAACATGACCGACTTGCCGCTCGGGCTCTTTGTCGACGCGCCGTCGACGTTCATCGACCTCGAGATTTCCGAGACGAATTTGCACCAGATCTCGCTCGACCCGAACCTCTTGA